CATTAAAAATACAATGAGTCAGGAATAACAAATTTTCTCTTAACATTCAATCTAGAAGATGCAACATTAGTTTCTACATCCTGCAAATCTTAAGAGCTTGTGATTATAGTATATTAACCATCTTTCAATGCACCAGAAGCAATCGCATATCTATTCAATTTTATAAAACTAGTTTTACAAAATAATAATATAGTTTTATAAACCACAAGTGAAACATGAACTAGATTGCGTCTAACTTCTGTGCATAAAGATAATTATCTAATACTAATATCCTCATATTCTCTAATTTCAGATGTAATACTCCCACTGACTTAGCTACAACCTTGACATCAGGTCAAGTATAAATATATATCTATATTATCGAGGCTTCTGGATTCCTGAAATCCTTGCAACAATTGCAAACATATTTAGTGGCTCCAGAATCTATCCATCAGGAATTAATAGATACAACCACATAACATGGCTCAATGATTAAATATACATTTTCCTATGCCACGTCATTGCTTAGACAATTCGTCCTTTAGTGTCTTAGTTAGCGACAAAAGAAACAGTTTTCTTCACCCTCAACATACACTACCTTATTTCCTTTAACATTTTTGAATACCCATGTTTTGTGCTAGCCTAGTCCTATTATCATCCTTCTTCTTTACTTTGCCCTTCCACTTGGGCCTAGAAGAAAATGGTATAGACTAGGTTAGATTAATAGGATCGCCTATACTTTTGATTATTCCTATATCTGTTACCAATTCTATAAGAATATCAGCGAGTGTGAACTCAAACTGATTCCTTATTTAGTTCACTCTGGAAAAACCGAACCACTTTGGTAACAAGGCAATAATCATGTCAATTTGAAACTTACCATTCAAGTCAGCCCTATTAACCTCCAGTTCAATTTTTAAATACTAAACAACCATTTTTAAAATACAATTTCATACTGGAGTTCTTTAGGCTATCTTGATGGTGTTCAAGTCTGTCATAGTACGTAGGCATATGCTCTATCTAATCTCACTAAAACATCTCTTTCAGTATCTTAAAGTAAAGGAATTAGGTATAGGAGTATTCAATATATTTTGTACCCTTACGTTGTGAATAAAATATCTAAGTTTATTTTCCAGTCAATCTAAATGAGGTCCAATCACATTAAATATGTAAGCAAGCAGATAAACTGGATTAGACATAATTAATCTGAATATAAATACATTCACACAATATGCAAGGTGAATTATTAATACTATCATGCACATTTAAAATTAAAATGAGTTTGTTAACCACATAATATAATAAATCTCAATAAAATAAGAGATCATTATCATTATTAGTAAACAATCCCTTTTAATTTTTGCGAGTCCCTCAACCTTGTAGCATAATAAATCAACCAATCAATATGTCAATAACTTATCCTGATAGAGGAGTTCATTATTACTATTGTTAGGATTCATTTGCTATTTGATAAGCACTTCCATTAAAATAATAATATGTGGGTCCCTTAACCACTGTATGAAAAATCGAATAACCAATACGCCAATAACTTATTCGGTTGGCGAAGTTCATTATCGCTATTGGCGGGCAAATCCCATCATTTCCATATCTCTTAATACAATGCCTTGTTTATCATATGAAATGATTCCCGATTTTGTTTAGCCTTTCTAAAATCACCTAGTGTAGACCACTCCGTTTGGGGAGTTAACACTATTGATTTTAGATTGAGTGTATAACGTTATTAATGCTCTAAAGAAAAATAAAATATTAAATATGTTGTCATTATAATCTAGACTCTTTAAATCATGTGTATGGCCTTATTTTTAAAGATCTAATTACAATGAACATTTAATATTTTTATTTTCATGAGACAACCATTCTTGTAATATTAAGACTCTTCAAATCATGCATGTGGCCTTATTTTTGAAGATCTAATTACAATAGTTTTAATAACGAAGGCTATGGGGTAATGTATAAAAATCCCCGCTCCCACTCAATTTTTAATCATTAATAATTAGGGTTTTGAATTTATTTATTTACATGATATAATGCATGCAAAACGCCTTGATTTTAATCCAATTAAATTTAAAAAATATATGGACTTTAAATGATTCACTAATATTTAATTTGAAGCACAAAAAATAATTTACAAAAATAATTTTTCGTTTCCCAATAAGTGCCCTCAAATTAATTAGTAATCAAATCCAATTAATTTTCATAATTTAATTAATATAAATCAAATCATTTAATTAAACATGGATCCAATGCATGAACAATAATAATTATTAGCAATTAATTATTTCATGCATCACATACAACAATAAATGACAGATAAAGCAAATTAAATGGCCAATGGATTTAGCTTGTAACATTTAACTGCTCTAAGTATTACGCGAGAGCCAATCAATGACTTGTGAACACCTGCAGAGAGCTAGTACGCGCCTGCGGATGCAAAACAACACTTAGAACGCGCCCGAAGAGTGAGCAGCACCTTCCTATGCGCTGGAACGCGCTAGGAGAATGTCCATAGAGTCCCCACGCGCTTACACGATCTGGGGAGGTAGGCGCATGACACGCGCCTGCACGCGCTTACACGCGCGTCAGCAAGTGGCCAGCGCGTTCCACGCGCTGGCACGCGCCTGATGGCGCGTCAATTGAGTTCAGCGCGTGTTCTGCACCCGCCTGATGGCTAAGTTGTTTCAGCGCGTGATTCTCATGCGCTCTTTGGTTGGCTGTGCCTTGAGTCTTCATTAGCCGCGTCACATGGGATTATTTCTCATCAATCCCTCTTGATCTCTGGCTAATACCTTGCCGCCGACAACTCTCTGGTCGCCGGAAAATCGCCGAAAAAATTCCAAAAATTAAATTAAGCCTTAAAAAATTTCAGAAAAATTCCGGAAAATTTCTAAAAAATCCCAGAAAATTCCTGAAGCCTAATTTAACCCTCTTGGACCTTCTTGAAGCTTCATAACACCCTTTGATGAATATTACATGGCTTTAAATAAATTTACAATTTGAAATACAATGAGAAAAATTAAATTACATCATTGAACTTTCAAACGGCTAAATCAAAGCCTTAATTACATTCATCCAAAAATAAAATTACATTCATTCATCCTATAAATTTCATCCATGGCCCAAACACACATCATCATCCATTCACAATTATACATACATCATTATATATCAATATATTAATTCATACATCAACATACATTAATAAATAAATATATATGCATATCAAAATTGGATCCATGAATGATGAATTTTGATAAAAACATGATCTCTAGTAATGAATCAAACCATGCTCTGATACCTCTGTTGGGAAACGTGCTAGTTTTAAAAACTTTTCGAGGGATTTTAATTCATAGATCTTGATTCATCACATAGAGACAAGTTTTATACAAAAATAAAATATGATGTATCATTCAATTAAAAGATTGAATATTTACATCAAGGTTTGAGTAAACCTTAGATCTCTCCTCTAAAGTGAATGTTCTCACTTATTGTAGATCCCTTTTGTTAGACACCTTTTTCATAGATCTCCATCTTTTTGGTAATGGTCTTGCCTTTAGGAATCACTCATAAGCCTCCATGAATGACCTTGGAAAACTAGGCTTGTAGGAGCATCCATTAGATGAGAACACTAACCCTAATTTTCTAGAGAGAGAAGATTTATTCCTTTTTCCAAAAATCACACTTAAAATATACATAGACCATGTATATTTATAGGCAACATAAAAATAAAGAAAAGGAAACAACAAATCATTCTCAATCTCTAATTCATATGTCTCAAATCTAATATGATTCCAATATCAAGTTGGGCTATGGGTGAGAATCCATTGGGCCTATTATTTTATTAGCTACAATGAATTAATAATTGGCCCGGTTCATGGACCCAATTCAATTAATTCATAAATTAATTTCTACTCCACTAAAAGAAATTAATTGAACTCCAATTAAATAATAAATAACCTCTAAGTCAATATTGCACTTTGACCCTCTATGCATAATTAGTTATCAGATAAATAAAGCCATCAATCCGACTACTTAATTAATATATATATTTTGGTACCATTGATTATTTCTGGCTCGATCACAATAAAATATTTGTTTGACAAAAATAATAATTTAAATAAATAAATATATAATAAATCATTTTGTCTAAAAACACACGAAGGCCTTCGAATTTACTTTGTGATTAACCATAATCAATACAAAATAAATACAAGTAGTAATGATGCAAATATTGAAAATATAACCCTCTAACTATTAATTACATAACTACCCAAAGTGTCGGTCTAAGGATCCCGAAGAATCCGCCGAACAAATCAAAGTAATTATTAATTAATAAAAGAGTTTATATTTTTCTCATGCTTAAGGGTCAAATGCCATGACAGTGATAGGGAGTAATTGCATACGACGGCTCTCGCAATATATCTCAACCTAACGCGGATCCAGTTCAAGTCTTAATTAATTATGAGTCCATCCATAATTACCGACTATGAACAATTTATGATTACTATTTATATATCATGCATTGATTGCCATCACATACATAGATATAAATATCTCTTGTAATCAAATGGACACTATCAATTCTATAATGAATCGAAATATAATACATTGAATTCACCAATTGTATAAAACATAAATATTTCAAAAACGTTAGGAACATATGTCACTATAATCCAGATAGGAATTTGTTATACCAGGGCATATAAATCCCAACACATCTTGCTTTCACGGTGTATCATCTGTGAATGGAGAGAAACAATGGAGTGTGCAATCAATTAGTATGAAGCTGATAGCTTGCCCATTAAAGAACAATTTGTTGCTTCCAAAAGACATGCACATGAAAGAATCTAGAGAGAGAGAAGAGATTGGCGTGAAATGAGGGAGGGAGACATTTTTTTTTCTTTCGATATCTAATATCAACCATAACAATCAAAAGATGGGAGGAATTAACTTAGAAATTGAAGAGAAGCTATAACAATAGAGAGATGATTTGATTTACCTCCTTACAATTCCCATTTCCTCTTTCCTTTTACTTGGGGTGCACCATTACCAATGGGCAAAACTAAACTATCCACAACTAAAACTGGACCTGGATATTGGTCTATTTTTGTATGCCTAAGACTCCTGAACTTGTTTTTTATAGGATTATAGATGGCTATCCTTCGTTCGTCAATTATTATCACAACTTCACCTTTCTCCGTAGCACACAATGGCATCACATGACCTAAATGTGTTGCTCCCACCCAACGTGAGATGACAAATAACTTAGTCCAAGAATTATGCTCACCATATTGCTTCATGGTCCACACCTCAACATATTTCTGATCACCGATATTACAATATATACTCAGGCATCCTCTCATAACCGTCAAACGAAATATATTTCCTTTATTTATACAATTTGGTGGTGGCATTTCCTTGAACTCCTCATTCACCACATCATAGTAAACAATCATATATGTTCCATGAATACCCTCATATCGGGAGCTTTCATCAAATCTCTGCCTCCCACAATCTGATGAACTCAAATAGGAATCCCTAGAAAAGATGGAAGAGAGGTATGTTGGAGAGTGAGGCCTCACGTAGGCAACTCTTGCAAGTCTCCAATTTCCTTTGTCATCGCTATCGCAATCGGAATCACTAGGACAGTCGTATGGTGGGGTGTAGCGGGGGAGCAATCTCCTCCGGGTAAAAAAACATGCGAGTGTAACACTCCATTCACAATTACGGGCCCTCCGAGATCACCCAAAAAAGGGAACCCCTTAGCCGTAGCCTTAGGCTCTGTCCAACATCGAAACTTGAAACTAAAAACCACAAACGATTTTGGTTGACTAATAAATATCACCTTGTAATCATCCATGGAAGAATCATAGCAAATTCCATATGGTACATACCAGTTATGTGGACATGACAACCTTTTGTATGCTATGGTGGATGGATACCACAGTGCACATGTCTTGTTGTCAAAATCTAACAGTACTAAACCATTACAAGAACACACCACTCTAGCCTTCTGTCGCCAATGCGGCCAAACAGACTTCTTACGTGGAAAGCATAGTTTTTGCTCTAAATCATCACCACCTCCATAGCCTGTGGAATAGAAATAGTCGGACCTCGAGTCCGAGCGAAAGATTCTTTGACGATCCAACTTAATTGATTCATTTAGATGCGATCTCACGAATTGGGGTTCAGAGATTATAGCTAGCAATGATTTGCAAACGCACCTAAATCGTAGCAGAGACTTGACAGATGATTTTAACAGTATACTGAATATGATATCACATGGAAGATTTGATACGTCACCTTCTGGTTTTCTTTGTTTTCTCTTCCCACCCGCCATTCTCTTGCAGCGGCTCTTCTTAGCGGTAGAAGGGTTTATGCAGAAAGGGTTTTAGGGATATATATATATATATATAATAGCATCACAATGGGAATGGGCTGTGTACTCCGATACCCAATACTTCCACAAGAAAAAGGAATGCAAATTATGGAAAATTGCTTTAGTTTTCTCATGACTCATTATTGCATTATATATATATATAACTTTCCATGTTAGGAGGCAATTACATTCCAACTCTAACTTGCAATGAGATGCCCTTTTCGGGTAAAACTATGTCTCAAAAAGATACCATAGCTTGTGGGGTTGCAATTTTTAGAGACAACATGGGATGCATGTGATGAGAATTGTTTGTAAATTAAATAATCTTAATTTAATTATCATTCAAATTATTAACTTTTCATGTGTCATATGGGCGCTAATGTTATTTCAAGATGGCACCAAGAGTGATAATATAAAATGTATTTGATGTAAGCTATTTTGTTATATTAGACTTGGTTTGTCACTATTTAAAATTTAAATTTTTTTCTTCTTGAAAATCATTTTTGTTATATGTGTTCTTTCCGTTTACTAAATTATAAAAGGATCAATTTTGTTGGTTAGTTAGGAAAGAAAAAAAAATTGTTGGTTAGTTGTGCCTTTCTATAAAAATAAGAGAGTGAATATGAAACATTTTTATAATTTTGTTGCCTTTAATATATATGAAGTGAAAATGGAATGTGAATAGAAATAAAATAGAATAGAATGGTCATTTATTATATGAGTCTTACTATTTAGTTCGACAAATAAAAACCTATTACTTTATATAAGGCTATTTATGTGTCAAATATAATGGAACCCATATTAAAATATAAGGTAATTAGTTTTTTAAAAAGTTGTAATCTTTTTTTTAAGTTTCATTTTAATTTAGTATTTTTTTTAGGTTTCATCTTAATCTACACATCACATTGCATCTCTGTAAGAACTTTTGAGATACTTCAGGCATCTCCTATATATAATTAGATTGTGTATCCCTGATTTTATATAAAACATTGTGTCTTTGATCATTAATATACATCAATTATTTTGATAAGCATTTGTAAATTGTTATAATGATCAAAACTAATGATCTATCTGACTTCCAAAAACAAAATTAAGGAGAGGAATTTAAAAAAAAAAAAAAAATTGCAAAGTATTAAAAAATTGTAAAAACATTGTAATTTTTATAGTAGATTTTAACTAAAAAGATAAGGAAAGAGATTCTGAAAAACTAAAATATAAGGAAGGAAAAATAGACGTATTTTATGGAAACAAATAAGAGTAAGTAACTCTGTATTTACATCTGGTATTAAAGTAGTCAATTATATCATTTTTCTTATTATATTGTTTGATTGCAAATATAAAATAATATAAGAATAGAATAATAATAGCTATTTATTAGTTAGGGGTGGGACTTGGGCATGCCAAGGGAGTTTAACCTACGTCAAATTCAAGGTTCTAACACCACAACCCAAGTCCTGAGGAACCCATCAAACCTCAACTTATACCATACCGCACGGGTTCATCGGGTCAGCCCAAATTATAATATCCTACTAATAAATAAATATTAAAAAAATGTTAAAATATATAACTATGTAAACTTGACATGAAAAAAATGAACATAAATCAACCAAACAATGTTATTAAAATTTAAAAACTCGTGGGACTTAATAAAATTCATTCTTATTAGAATTTGGAAAAAACTCAAATCTTATATTCTTTAATATTTTGTTTCCTTAACTACAATATCTTGCTATAAATATTAAATCATCTATTCAACTTATAACATTAAAAATATAAAAATTATATATTTTTCTTGTATTTTGGGTTCCTCTGGTTGCTCAAGTTAGTAAAATCTAGTTCCAAATCCTGCCCAAAATAAATTCAGGCTCTAATGTTTAAACACAAACTCGTCCCATGGTTTTATGGTTTTAAGACCATTGCCCAGGGCCGTAAAATTAACAGACTGGAAACGGGTTGCTTGGGTTAGGCCCACCCAAGTCTCAGCCTAATATTAGTGTTTAGTTGGACCAAATTTAAACCTAAAATATAATGAATTTCAAATTGAATTCTTCAAAATACCCATCCCATTGACAAATAAATTAAGTTAACAAAATGGCATTCTTATATTTTTTGTTAAAATAAATGGCATCAGTGGTTGTGCTAGAAGACGGCAATGGCGATAATGGGGGGCCGTGGTACTGGCAGTGGAAGGCGACAAAGTAGGTGGTGGTACAAGTTGATGGCGGTGGTGGAAGGCAACACTGGTGTATTCTGTTGGTGGTAGAAGTTGGTGGTGATGGTGGAAGCAGTAATGGTGGTAATGGAAGGCAGTAGTAGTGCAACTGGTTGTGTTGGAAGGTGGCAGTGGGGTCAGTGGAGGAATGTGTTGCCACTGGAGGAAGGATATGGTGGTGGTAGTGATGGTGGTGGAAGGTGGTGGCGGTTGCAGTGGCAAAAGCAATGGTGGAAGGCGGCAGCGGTGTAGGTGGTGAAAATGGTGTAAGGCAGTGGAAGTGTCAATGGTGATGACGACTACATAGGTGGAAAACGGCGGCATCAGTGGTGGTGGCAATTACAATTGTGGAAAGTAGTGGAGGTGGTGTTGGTGGGTGGCAATGGCGGTGGAAGGCGGTGGCGGTGCCAATGGTGGAAGTAAATGGTGGTGGAAGGCGGTGGCGGTGCGAGTGGTGGAAATCAATAGTGATGGTAGTGGAGGTGGCGGTGGTGATGAGAACAATGATGATGTGGTGGCAGTGGAAGGCGCATATAATGGTGGTGATGGAAGGTAGTGGCGTGACAGTGATAGATTTTGGATGCGAACATTAGGAATTTTTTGGGAACTTGTTTTTTTTAAGACAAAAAAATTTTAAAAAATGAAATGGCCATTTCATAATTAGGTTTATAGTTGTAAAATGAATTTTATTTTAAAGAAATGATGATTCCTATTTTAAATTTCATGTCAAACAAATAACATTTCATTCGGCCATTTCATAATTAGGTTTATAGTTGTAAAATGAATTTTTATTTTAAAGAAATGATTGATTCTCATTTTAAATTTCATGTCAAACAAATAACATTTCATTCCTTTCCAGTATATATACCAAACACATGGCTTGTTAAATTGTCAAGTAATTCCCATCTTTACCATCACACAATTCTTCCCACAATTAAGACAATTACAATTGGGTGGGTATCATCACCTAATTCTCTGCACTACAATTTGTTTTTTTTTTCCTCTGCGAGCATGACATAATACGCGAAGTGTGTTTGGTGACCACTTTATACATGCAATAACAGTTATATTGAGTCGATTGACCGAAAGAAGAGTCCACGCAAAGTGTCTTAAGAAAAATGGTGAGCCAAAGACTTCTCAATATATTCAATTGGCTCCCAAAAATAATATAAGGGTTAAGTGCACTAAATCTGAAAGACATTTAAACCTCGTTTGTTGCAAAAACTCAAATACTCAAATTCTGTTAATTGGTCATCACATATTTAAGTCCAAGTATGAACACGTCACTCGTGCGCCTTGGGCAAAATTTGTAATCTCAAATATAACCTTCCCAAAATGACATCCTCGCTTGCCGAACAGTGCCGCCGCTGCAACTCTCAGGCGACCGCAAAGCACAAAGTGAAGACTACACAGCGCAGAACAACAAATTCAGTAGAAATAGAAGCCACCGACCACAAATTCAGTCACCACCAACGGCCACTACACAAAATACAAAATCCAAAATCCAAAATCCAAGCCGCAACACTGTCCACGACTTGAACTGGCGGGGTGCCTCGAAATTATGTTTGGATAGTACTCGCCGGTGCTTGACCTTACAAGAGACGAGATCCGATTACTACAAAGCAGCAGAAAATTGAACGGCGAGTGATCTGCCACGAGCAATGACTGAAACCCGAATGTGGGGGACGACTGAGGAGAGGTACAGGTCACGTGACATGGGTTCAACGAGAGAGAAGACTTGAACGCAGAGGAGGGTTACGGTGGAGCAAAAACCCACATGGATCGCGGTGAGAGAGATCGGATACGGCTAACCTTTGATCACTAGTCATTATAGTAGATCAATTTAATAGCAAGGGCACTTCATTAGTTTTCTCGGAAATTACATGTGCGTGATTTTTTTTTCAGTCAAAATTAAATTCTTTGGAACTACTAGGTATGAAGAAAAAAAAAATTACAAAAAATCTACTTTCGAACACCAAAAAATTAGGTTTCTACTTTCGAACATCCAGCACACACATACATGCAGAACCCTAGCCTAGACATGCACAGGAAAGAATCTAGAGAGAGAGAGAGAAATAGGGGACTGGCGCGAAAAGAGGGAGGGACAAACGAGGCTTTAAAACCAACTATAGAAGCAAAAAATAAGGACCGTTGAACTCAATCGCCTAAATTTAGCCATTTGTTTTTCCAACCAGCCATTGAACGTACACTGCCTTAATTGCCACCTCCCACTTAATTTTTTATTTTTTTTAATCATTCCGTCCACTTTCATGCAAACCCATAATCTCTTATGATCTTCAAACAAAATATACATATATAGATATAGGAAAAAACAGACCACATTCAATAATGTTCCCTATAACAATATGTTGAGAAACCATTGACAAGATCAAGATGTCTACTTCAGGTCCCAATAAACCCTCCTTGTCACAATCGCCTTCAGGTACCCGCCCACCTCAGGCGGTGAAGTTTGCCCGCCGGACGTCGAGTGGTCGTGTCGTGAGCCTGTCCCGGGACGACGACATCGATATGGCTGGAGAATTTGCCGCTCCAAATGACTACATTAACTACACCGTCCTCATGCCTCCGACCCCGGACAACCAGCCGGGGATGGGCGCCTCGGGGGACAAGCCGGACGGCCCGGGGGCCTACGGGGCGTCACGGTTCGGTATGGATAATCAACGGAGGGATGAGCAGGGAGGGTATGGTGGAGGAGGGGGTGGTGGAGGCGGCGGCAATTCGGGAAGCAAGCTGGACCGTAGGATGTCTGTGATGAAGTCAAATAATAAATCAATGTTGTTGAGGAGTCAGACAAGCGACTTTGATCACAACCGTTGGTTGTTTGAGACCAAAGGGAAGTATGGTATTGGGAATGCCTTCTGGCAAGATGATGATAAATACGATGAAGATGGAATGACCATGTCTGATTTTTTGGACAAGCCTTGGAAGCCACTCACTAGGAAGGTCAATGTTCCTGCTGCTATTCTCAGCCCTTACAGGTGCACAACTCATATATATATATATAACAAGACTAGAGTCTATTCATTCAAAAATATGACTACTAACATAGCATTCTATACAGCATTTGAATCTCTAACCTAACCTCTCTCTTTTTCTTCCTCATTGTATAGGCTACTTGTTGTGATCCGCCTTGTAGTACTGTGTTTTTTTCTTGCATGGCGGGTCCGAAACCCTAACCCTGAAGCAATGTGGCTATGGGGCATATCCATTGTATGTGAGATCTGGTTCGCCTTCTCATGGATTCTTGACATTCTCCCCAAGATCAACCCCATAAACCGAGCTACCGACTTGGAGGCCCTCAAGGACAAGTTCGAGGCACCTTCACAGCACAACCCCCATGGCCGGTCTGACCTCCCAGGAGTCGATGTGTTTATCTCCACCGCTGACCCCGAAAAAGAACCACCTTTGGTCACAGCCAACACCATCCTCTCCATTCTTGCTGTTGAATACCCTGTTGAGAAAGTCTCCGTCTACATCTCAGACGATGGCGGCGCTATCCTTACCTTCGAGGCCATGGCTGAGGCTGTCAACTTTGCTCAGGTTATATAACAATCCTGATCACTATGAAATGATTTTAATAATAGTGTTTTGGACAGTTGTTCACACTCATTATGAAATTAGAATGTCCACACTTGGATGGAATGGTTGGATAAATGTACCGAGAATTTCACTCTTTTTTAGTTTTACTCATGCAGCAGTGAGCATGAAAATGCTCATACAAGCTACAAAGCTAATCTTAATTTTTCGCAAGTGATCTTTGTCTATAATTTTTTTTTAACTGAATCAACCTATAAATATTTATAAATGTAAAAGATTTTTATCAACTAATTAAGTCACTAGAGTGTTTAACTACAATATGTAGTGTAATATCCTAAGTGGTTATCTGCTTTCTTTGAATGTGCGTCCATTGTTTATATAACAGGTTTGGGTGCCCTTCTGCCGGAAGCACAAAATTGAGCCTAGGAATCCAGACAGCTACTTCAACCTGAAAACTGACCCGACAAAGAACAAGAAAAAGCCTGATTTTGTCAAGGATCGTCGTTGGATCAAAAGAGAGTACGATGAATTTAAAGTCAAGATCAATGGGCTGCCTGAAGCAATACGCAAGCGGTGTGAGATGCATAACTCCAGGGAAACTATGAAGGAGAAAAAAATGGCCAAGGAGAAGAACGGTGGGACGCTGCCAGCAGAGCCGATCAACGTCACCAAGGCCACATGGATGGCTGATGGGACACACTGGCCGGGCACATGGCACTCGCCAATAGCTGATCACTCCAAGGGAGACCATGCTGGAATCCTGCAGGTTGCCTTATTGACTAAATTAATCCTGAATTTCTATTGAACTTTCTCAGTAACCAAACATACCCAAATATGTCCCTACTATGAATGAAAATGTCACGAGTATAGTTCATTGATTCCAAATTTTTCCTAGTTACTATAATGCGGAAATGACATTCTTTTCTTGCTAGTTGAATGATTCAAAACTTGAAGTTGTGTCCCCATGCAGGTGATGAGCAAGGTGCCAGAATGTGATCCAGTATTGGGTCACCCAGATGAGAAGAAGCTGGACTTCAGTGGCGTCGACGTTCGGGTTCCAATGTTTGCATACGTTTCACGTGAGAAACGGCCTGGTTATGACCACAACAAGAAGGCTGGAGCCATGAATGCCCTGGTGAGAGCTTCGGCAATACTGTCCAACGGGCCATTCATACTCAACTTGGATTGTGATCATTACATATTTAATTCTCTGGCCATTCGAGAAGGAATGTGCTTCATGTTGGACCGTGGTGGTGACAGGATTTGCTACATACAATTTCCCCAAAGATTTGAAGGGATCGATCCCTCTGATCGATATGCCAACCATAATACTGTCTTCTTTGATGGTGTGTACCTTCTCTCTTTTCGCACGAGATTATGCATTCAAAATCTGTGAGATGTTCATAAGAACGTATCAATTTTCACTAGAAAGTTTTGCCATAGCATTTTTGCTAAAAGCAAATTCCTTTCTTGGAGCTTCGCCATGGTGACCCAACAAAAGACTGAAATTTTCATGTTTCTCTGCTAAATTTCATATTGTTATGTAACCCAAGTTTGGTAATTTTGGTTGCAATACAGGTAACATGCGAGCCCTGGACGGACTCCAAGGCCCTGTGTATGTCGGAACTGGTACCATGTTCCGGCGATATGCACTCTACGGTTTCAACCCACCTCGAGCGAATGAGTACACGGGCTTGTTTGGGAGAACGAAGAGCAAGGTAAGTAAGCAACCGCATGGCGGTGATGCACAACCTGACCAGGAAGACTCAGTTACACAGCCCCTAGCAACTCACCCGGACTTGAACCTCCCCAAGAGGTTTGGGAATTCGACAATGTTCGCAGAATCTATACCTGTTACAGAATTTCAAGGACGCCCACTCTCCGATCACATTTCTGTAAAGAATGGCCGGCCTCCTGGTGCACTGCTCGTCCCACGCGCCCCACTTGATGCACCCACTGTTGCTGAGGCCATTAATGTCATCTCCTGCTGGTAACTTTGCTTATTCTATCTCCAATCTTTTCCTTATTCTTATGATTGGTGAGATTTTCCTGTTCAATATGAATTTTAGCTCAGGGAGAGATTGTTCTTCTATGAATTAAAGTAACTTCTAAAGACCCAGAATCATCAATATATAGAACTTTGTAGAGCAGTCATCAACTGATAAGAATTTTCTAAGCATCCTCCTTATCTGGTATTTAACTTAATGTTCCAAAATCAAGCACAGGTACGAGGATAAGACCGAATGGGGAGACAGGATTGGTTGGATCTATGGATCAGTGACAGAAGATGTGGTGACCGGTTATCGGATGCACAATCGTGGGTGGAGGTCCATCTATTGTATCACCAAGCGTGATGCCTTCCGTGGCACTGCACCTATCAACCTCACTGACCGCCTGCACCAGGTCCTCCGGTGGGCAACCGGTTCAGTAGAGATCTTCTTTTCCCGAAACAATGCCCTACTGGCGAGCACGCGCCTCAAGTTCCTGCAGCGCATAGCGTACCTCAATGTCGGCATCTACCCTTTCACCTCCTTCTTCCTAGCGACCTACTGCTTCCTCCCGGCTCTCTCTCTCTTCTCTGGACACTTCATTGTACAAAGCCTAAACATCGCTTTCCTCACCTACCTCCTCATCATCAGTGTCACACTCACTCTCATCTCACTTCTTGAAGTCAAGTGGTCCGGCATTGGCCTAGAGGAATGGTGGCGTAACGAGCAATTTTGGGTCATTGGTGGCACTAGTGCTCACCTTGCTGCTGTAATCCAGGGGCTACTCAAGGTCATAGCCGGTATTGAGATCTCATTCAAACTTACCACCAAGTCTGCTGGCGACGACGTAGATGACATCTACGCAGATCTATATATTGTCAAATGGACAAGTCTCTTCATAATGCCATTAACTATCATTGTGGTCAATATCATTGCACTTGTCATTGGTTTCTCAAGGACTGTCTACAGCGTGATTCCGCAGTGGAGTAAGCTCTTTGGTGGATGCTTCTTCAGCTTCTGGGTGTTGGCTCACATGTACCCATTCGCCAAGGGGTTGATGGGAAGGAGAGGAAGGGTGCCCACCATTATATATGTGTGGTCAGGGCTTGTGGCTATAACAGTCTCTTTGCTTTGGATATCTCTCAGTCCACCAAGTGATAACTCTAAATTTAAGGCTGGATAAGTAGAGATGTTTAATGACTGGGGAAGGAGACACTAATGCTGTAATTAACTCATATTTTCTTCCATATTTCCTCCACAATGTAAGCAATCTTGTACTACTAAGAGGTGTCTCCAGCTTCAAAAAAAAAAAAAAAAAATGTCTCAAACTCAAACTCAGATTTTTCTTGTGTTTGTATTGTAACTTGTAAGTGTAGGACATATAGTGATATACAGAAGTAATTTAAGTGTATCTTACATGGCTTTTACCACCCATGAATGTGTTCAAGTTCCCATGCACAGGCAATGGAGCAGTAGACAGTCTAGTGAATCCAATTCAAGAAATAATTTGATCAAATGGGAACTTTCTCTTTGATGCACCAGTATAATTCAGGAGGGCGAAAATTTTAGATAATGAAGTATACTCTACTGTTAGAGGTCTTTCGGTATGCAATTAAATGTCTTGTGATATTGAATTTTTTGGATTTTTCAAAGAGAAATTTAAAGCAAATTTTTCTTTAAGTCATTGCAAAACTGGGAAAGCAGTCTATCTGATTCTGTATATTACCAGTAACAATACTCCATAACATAGAACAGGTCAGCTTGGAAACTTACAAGCAGATAAAAGAATGGTAGCTCCAGACCAATGCCAATCCCAAATGCAACCTCTAGTCCACATAAAGAATGGAAACCCTTTCTTCTGCTTTTATTAAAAAATAAACTCGTCCAGAATAGTCAGTTTGCGCAACCTAACCAAACACTTTAGTTTTTGAATATTATTCATGGCAGGTTCTTTTTCCAAGTTCATGTCATGAATGCGGACACCCTATTCTGTCCAAAGTAATAAATACTCTGTTCCAGTTTAGATCAAAATCAGAGCATACGTGATACAATCTTGGGTCCCAGAAAGGATGCATATCCTGGAATTAGAAGGCTAGTTTTGCAAGGAAATCAAGGAAGAAAACTGGTGACGGACACTAGAAACTCTCTTTTAATTTTTTTTTCGAGCGAGTGTATGGATATATATATATATATAAAATGGTAGAAAGCCACTATAGAATCTTTAAGAAGCATAACCCAGGAACAAACTAAGCTCCAAAAAACCCCAGCGCCCCAACAAATAAATCAGGACTATACATGGGAGTCAAACAAAAGGAACATATGGGCTCTAGAGAGAGCAAAGGATTGACGCTCCATAAAAGAAAAGAAAAAAAAAAAAAAAAACATAAATATAGCCATAACAATACTTCCAGTAGCTAATACCACTGCAACTCAAAGATGGACCACCACAGCAAGAAGAGGCTGTTAAGTACCAAAAGAAGAACAGGAAGCTAACATCCAAAATATAATCCAAAGCCATGGAGGTACTGGTACACTCAAATAGATATATTGTGAGGTATACATGTTTCTAGAACAATTAGAACAACCACTTCTTTCAGTATTACATGCGTGAATTCACCATAGGACAACTCTACCAACTTTTTTTTTCATAAGCACAACTCTACCAACTTCATAAACATTACTTTTCATATATATATCTAGAATTATCCAATGACATGAACCAAACTAGAAGATATTAACCAAAAGTCAAGTCTAATCTCCAATACCTTGCACCACTAAACTTGATTTTGTTTCCAAGTCCTCAACTTGAGAAACGCATCATCCTTGAACAGCTTGATGTTAAGTTGATCTTCAGACTAGATAAATTTAAGTTCAAACTTCAACAGCAATAATCTTCATGGCCATCCTATGGATGTGTAGACCATCTTATGTCTTCATTTCAACACTTTCATTTTTCTTCTTCACTAATACGATCATTGATCTTCAACTTTTTTATTATTTGTGTAGACCATCTTCAACTATTTTCTACTTCAAATGCTTGCATTTTCAGACTAAAAAATCGCATCGATGTCTATTCTCCAAACTAAAATGCAAATTGTAATTGGTTAATTTTTCACCATGTTGATAATCATTTTCATACTTCATCCTAACATAATTTATGATAAGTTCAAGAAACTTCTTTTCTCAAGCGTATCAAGGACAAGTAATGCAACTAATACATTCAATACTACATGCATGAATTCACTGCAAGATAGCGTTTCAACTTCATACATAAACCTCCCTATGCATGTGTGATGTGTGTATAATGACATAAATCAAAGGAGCAATTCGTTATCAAAAAATCAAATTTGCTCTCAAACAGCATAAACTTGAGGCCCCATTGCCTCTCCTAGTCATTCCATGGTCAATGTAATTTGTCAATGGAACAACAATTTTTTCCTTTTCGGAGATGAAATTTGCCAGTTGAATAAAGTTTTTTTTTCCTAAAATATGGGGTAATCTAATTCAGGAGTTCTGTTTCCTCATTTTCTCCAGCATATTTGGTTCATCAAGTTGCCAACTACAACGAGGGATGGTTATTATTGGCATCAAATCAGACTATAGGATGACCAGGTTCATGGTTGGTTCAGATTCAGTTTAATAATGGGTGTGTAGAGAACAATGAGATCAAGCGCCACTTCCCTTTCACTACTTAAATCTTCCTCTAAAACTTCTCCACCCGTTCCGTTGTTCCACTAACTACATTGATTGGATACAAGCTGGGTTGATGGGGTCGTTTCTCAAGCACAAATAAAAAAATCTAAAAGAGGTATTCAACCTAGAGAAATGGTCATCTCTTTGATTAATGTGGTATGGATGATCAGTTCATCTGAAAAAGAGGTCAGTCTTTGGGGAGACCATGCGGGCAAGACAGAACGCGCACAGCAGGTTACTAGACAACCAGGTTGAAGGTGGTTTTAGATCCACTTCACACTTGGGCAAGCACACATAATTATCAGTCTGGTTTTATACATAGTATGACTTTTTCTCCAGTGAAATTGGGGCACATGGTTGTTGCATTAGCCAAAAGTTTCCCTGTTATTTAATGGGTGCTTTCATCAATTCAGTATGAAGAACATTATAATTTGTTAACTCCTAATCTGGGTATAGCAGCAGCTCGATCCTCTATATTCCTAAATTGGACAACAGACCATTTCTGGAGCAATAGTAAAAAAACATGAAGGATGTAGAAAAATTCAAATGCACTGAAATGGTTAAAAAGTGTGTCATGGTAGACAAGAAATTTTCTAAGATATCACATGTCAAAGGCACTGAAAATATTGCAAGTTTCAATTTGACATCTCAAGGTAAACTAATGAATATATATAAATAAGGATGTGACAACTGAATTCACCTTCTTGATGCAACAGAAACTGCAATACGTTATAGAAGAAATTCACGAATTCGAACAGGCCTTTTTACTGCATTTGTAAAACCCTGCACAAAACGAAGATATAAAATTTTAATATGAGCTTGGGCTTCACTTTCTTCAGTACTAGTAGGGAACTATTTATAAAGCCTGAAAAATTAGACTGGTACATCAGAAGTCATCAGCACAAGCAAAACCGTGTACTTGCTCCCTTTATACAAAGCCTAATTCCGTGTGTCTTATAATAGTACCTGTCAGCACTGCCTCACACTGTAAAGCCATTGAATAATATACCTATTTTCCATTTCAGGTCAGCAACAGGCTCTGCTACCTGGTTTTCATTCTGAACCTTTGCTACATAGAAACCCTTATTTCATCATGTAAGCATTCGGATGAGTGCTTATTAACCGTATCAAGGAACTTTAAGGCTTTCTATGACAATTTGTTATTCAACAAACATAAAAAGCGACAGTCTTTGGTGATTTACTACCAGTTGTCCAGTGCATGCAGATCTCATTTTGTACAAAATCTATAAGAGATAGCATGAATTGGCAGCAAACACATTTTCACAAGCCTGGTTATATGCAAGATTTACATAGGAATGCTGATAAAATCGGAAATATTGGTTGCTTATTACCTCGTTAAATTTAAATAGTAGAGGGCGTGAATCTCTCTCTAGCGTCACTGGCCTCTGAATAGCATTATCAGTATTTTGAGAACCTTTGCTGCTCAATTTTCTAAACCTGTCTCAAGAAACCAAAAATGAAAAATAATTAAATAAATAAAAAGGAAAAAGGATAGTTATGAACTAAAAGCAATGACTTGCTGTAAAGTTACACTAACACACAGCATGCTTATAAACCTGCCAAGAGGTGTACATGACTATGCCACCAGGGTTTAAGCTTGCCAATGGTCAGAACTTAGTGTGCAAGCTAAATAAAGCCTTGTATGGGTTAAAGCAGTCGCCACATGCTTGGTTTGAGAGGTTTAGCACTGCTGTTAAAAGAGTAGAGTACACAGAGATTCAGATCATACTCTCTTCATCAAGAAGCACCAGAGCTGCACCACTGCCCTTATTGTATATATTGATGATATTGTTATCACTGGAAATGATTCAAAAGAGATTCATCAAATGAAGTCATTCTTGGGGACAGAGTTCGAGGTTAAAGACCTCAGATTATTGAGATACTTTCTTGGCATCGAAGAAGGTAAGGATAGCGCCGCCATCGTCTGAGATGCAGATTTGTTGGCTGAAACAGGCAGGCTCAGAGCTAAACCTATTGATATTCCCATTGAGCAGAACCATAGGCTTAATGATGTAGATGGAGACCCATTAGATGATGTGGGAAGATTTATTGGTTGGGAAACTGATTTAACTATCTCTCACGCGCCCGGATATTGCCTAGGCCGTTAGTGTGATTAGTCAGTTTATGCATGCTCCACGTACACCTCACCTTGAGGCAGCTCATCGTGTTCTTCACTACCTCAAGGGTTCACCTGGTAAGGGGATATTATTTGACCGTCGTGGCCACTTGCGTGTTGAAGCCTATGCTGATGATGATTGGGCAGGGTGTGTGACAGATCGACGATCTACTTCAGGATAATGCACATTTGTTGGAGGTAATCTTGTTTCATGAAAAAGCAAGAAACAGTCTGTAGTAGCTAGATCTAGTGCAGAGGGTGAGTTCAAATCCATGGCACATGGAGTTTGTGAGTTGTTATGGCTACGAACGATTGGGTGATCCTGTTCACGAATCAATAAAGTTGTATAGTGACAATAAGGCTGCTATTAGAATTGCCCACAATCCATTTCAACATGACCGGACAAAGCACATTGAAGTCAATCGACATTTCATCGAGGAAAAGCTTCGTCTTGGGCTGATTTGTACTCCATACTTCAACACACATGATCAGATTGCTGATATTTTGACTAAAGATGTGAGCAAGACTTGCTTGCAAAATATGTTAGTCAAGTTGGGTATGATTGACATCTTTGCACCAGTTTGAGGGAGAGTGTTGTCAGGGGCTTATTTGTTATTACCTTTATAATATTGGGGCTTATGTGTAATTTCTGAAACTTATTAGTATAAATAGAATGTGATGGAAGGATGAAAGTATTCTTTCATTCTTTCACTCTTTTTCTCACATCCTCTTTTTCTTGTTTGTCTTATACTTTACTCTTGATTTGATTATATCTTAAAGTCAACAAAGTCAAGACCTGCTAAAAAGAATCAGGCAAACCCCAAGTTTTTTGGATATGCCTATTATTGGACATTAGGAACAGCTCTCATGCTTGCGAGCCTTAGCCTAACAGAATCCTCTACAATTTTGATCACAGAGTACGCTTCTTTATGGACATTAGAGAACCTGTAATTCCTTTCTACCCAGAGATGTAAACAGTAGCACAGAAATCCAGCTTGTGTGGCGTAGCTTTGAAGGATTTTCCATAGAATTTTGAAGCTTCCCAAGATATTCATGCAGGTTGCTCACTAGGCTAATTACCTTAATCAACGACAATGTCTGTTGATTACCTAAAAGCCTGCCCTCACCATAAACAATGAGAAAAACCTAGAGTTCTATACACTGCTACACTAAAACATCTAGAATATGACAAATATTTTTATTTTAAATATAAACTAAAATTGAAACCACAATAGAAATCCTAAATTAGCCTCAGCATTACTAAAATACACTGGACAGTGTAAAACTTACGGGATTAAGTAGATCAAATGAGCATGTACAATATTTATTTTTGACAATTTATGGAATGTCGTCAATAATGACAAAGAAATGGCAAAATAATACAAAGAGGAGAATTGGTCTTCAATAGAAAAATCGAGATCGATTCATTGAAAGACATGCCCGTGTGTATAATTTTGTATTTTTATGTATTTATTATGTGTTGCCAACACACATGCATGTTTGTCCATGATTTTGTATGTATATACAGATTATAGCTCATCTGTTTCAGTTTGAAGTGTTTGAGAAAGATGAGTAAATCTAACAGTTTCTATTATTCCATTTTGTGATTCAGGTCCTGACTGGTGCTAAGAAAACCATATGGTAGAAGACACGGCCTAAAAATTTAATTTAAGGTAAGGCGAAAATGAACAGAACTAAAATATATAACACTAAAACAAAAAACATTTCTACCTGTCAAAGAAAGCAGAGGAGTCCCTAGAATGTTTCTTCATATCTCCAGTGGATCTTATTTTCACACTGACTGTGGCACTTTCAGTGGACCCTAAAGCTAATGAAACAGGAGGCAAGAGTGTTTCACATCGACTAAGATTTGATGATTTCTTTGCATTTTCCGTGTTTTTGGCTGATGCAGGTGCATAATCAGATATGGAAGATTGTGCTCTGTCATTGTCCTCCCCTGCCCAAGCCTGGTTCTTTTTGTTGAATACTTCAGTAGGCTGGATGGATCTGTTGATGTTTCCTTGCAAAATCTTTTGCTTCTCTACCTAAGATAAATTGATCATGTACATGATATTAATTTGACGTTAAAATCCTACAATGCAGCAGCCTTCTAGCACAGGTTAACAAATAATGGACATACCAAATGCATATATAGTTTACTAAAAGGACATTACTTTCTGCGACAAAGAAATTTAATTTCCCAAGTAACAAGTGAGTTACACAAGTAACACAACAAAGCAACTGTTTTACAACAAAAACATCACACGTGACAATAAAAATAATAAACAAAAAAGTGAAAGTACATGTATCTATGCCAATATGGTTTCCAACTACAACTGTAGAGCTCAAAGAAGCAACAATAACTAAATAATAAACTGGGTTGATTTCATTTAGGACTATCATGCCTTCTTATGAGCTTCTATAAAAGGTGCAGTTTGCACCTTAAGGCACACCTTGAGAAGGGAAATACAAATAGCGCGCTTAGAACTAAATGTTCATATTCCTTGGGGTTCACTCAAACTATTAGAAAATAGGTTATCTTTATGCGATATGCATATATTAATTAAGAGGGAGGAGTGATTCTTATTACAAAAATTGAAATTTGACAGTCTTGGTTAATAACTTTCTAATTTTATGTGAAAACTGACACTGATAAGCTATCAGTGTGCATCACGAATACAAGAATTCAAAATGATCACCTCAAAACATAACAAACTGCAGGTAACAGACTCCTGAAACACATGTTAGAACCTCCAAAGCAAATATAATATATATATATATATATATATATATATATATATATATACAGACACCAAAATCGAGATGTCATTGCAAATATTAAAATGCCTTGGGAGTTTACAAACACTGCTTTAATTCTTAGACCACTGGAGTTTTTAGAGCACTACACAAGAAGCTTATGATCTATTTTTCCAGATATATTTAATCAGCAATAAAAAACCAATTTAGCTGGCCCTAAAGAACTGAATCACTTGCCTCATGCACCAAGACCTGCTTCACAGCTAAGGCGAGAACAAAATGGCCAGATCTATAGCCCTGTTTAACAACAAAATGTAAGGCGTTCACAAAAAATAATAGATCGTATAACATTTCTGATTATACAAAACCAACATTACTAACCTTGAAGTTTATTAAGTCACCAACGGGAGGATCAAATGAGAGCATTGAAGCATCTACAGCTGTTTCATGTCTAATGGTACTGAGTAGAGGATCAGATTTCACATTCTTATATGTTATAGAATAGGAAACCATCGCGTTTACTAACTGAGACAGATCATCCTTCTCTTTCTCAGATAGTAAGTGCATAGCCACCTGAGAACAGACATCAGAGAGTAATTGCATTGGCATTGCTCTAGAAAAGATGATATAATGAAATATAGAGAGTTTCAAAATGAGAGAGAGAGAGAGAGAGAGGCATCAGTTGTATACAAGGAAAATTTTAGGGAACTAGTTCTATTTTCATTTTATGGTGAAAAAGGCATGTCTACATAACACAGTGCATTCATCATGGTGCTTCACAGATTTTTATGCAATTGTGTAACAAATTATGGACAGAACCAAAAACTTCTGAATCAATTTTTAGGAGTCTCAATGTAGTGTTGGTGTCTGATACTTGTATTGTAGATCTAGTAGTGAGTGCAATATCACAAAATCAAAAAGTAAAACAAAGACAGCAGAAGGTGTCACATAAGCAAATTACCGGCCTTAGAGTTGGTGGCGATAGAATATGTAATAATGGAGAAACAGAATCTTCTACAAAAGACTTGACTGACAGATGCCTTGAGATATATGGTGATATTTTGTGATGCCAAGATCGCAAACTGTCCATCTTTTCCATTAAAATTGCCCGGCATCTGCAAACTCATAGTAAGATACAAATAGTAAGATATTGGATTTTTCCTGTGTGATAGTAAGATATAGGGATTGTTCACAATAGATATAAGTTTCTAGATGAAGAAATACCTGTGGAAAGACTTTGGCCATTCAATATTTGGTTTTTCAACTTGGGCTATCAGACTATGTACAGCAATAGCAATAGCAGGCTGATAAACTGCAGAAAATGAAACAGGAATTAAATATATTAACTGGAAATTATCCTGAGTGTTAGAAGTCAAAGTTCAAAGATATCAGGTATTATTACCTAGAAGAGACATCTGCTGCGTACGCATAATGTTTTGATGAATTAAATCAGAAACTCCGAGACTATGCAAGCACTTGACCTTCAGTTGCAAGGTAGTTAGACAAATGTCTAGTAATAGCAGATCTAGAAAATGACCAAGACTGAGTGTAGTCATAAGGTGTGCAAAAGGTGTTTATGGCAATACGACTTACAGTCTTTTGCATCACTGGATCATGATAATGTAGCTGCAAGATATTTTCATGGATCCCATCCAAAATTATGTCATAATCGCCACTGCGCATTCATCGGACAGTTAGATAGATGCCCATCATTTCGAGGTGATGAAGAGGGAAAGAGTGTCTTAACCGGAAATCTCAACCTACCGGTTAGATACAAGGGAGTGCAGAAATTCAAATTCATTGGACATGCTGCTACAGCCATTGCCGGATTTCCTTTCTCGCTTCGCTTTTCTCTTTTGAAAAATCTAAAAAGGAAAAATAGAAGGATTGTAACCATATAGTAAGGATGCTTCTAATGAAAATTGAACTATGTCAGAAACAATTAACAGAAATTTTTTGACAATCTTTACCTCTTTCCATATGTCAAAAGCACTTTTTGATGTGTCCTTTCGGCCAACCACTTGAGAACTTATCTCCAACTAGGAACCAATAATATACGTTACTCAAATTTAATTGGCAAGAGATCACTTAAAGGAAACATAGTTGTACGAGGAAAAAACCCCAGAACTGCTAATGATATGGCTCGAATCTTCCTTGAACCCTTAAAAACGGGTGTGGATAATTTTGCAGTCTCATTTAATTCTGAGTTTATACATTTAAACTTTCTCTTACCAAAGTAATAATATATGGTGGCGTAAATCAAAACCTTAATGTATGGAACTCCATTGACTACTTCAAAAATGTATAAACCATTACCCAATCATGTGAGGGCTTAGCCCTAATGATAAGACATTCAACCAAATAATTTTTAGCCAGTGGCACAATACCCTTGTCAAACTAGTTTACAAATTATTGGCAGTGAGTACACCATAACTCACTAATTGATATTATGTTGTCTACTTTTAGAGGCCATTATGTTACTCTCAACGTAGAAGAAACTATTCATAAGAACTTTAAAAAGGAAAGAAGTAGCATAAGAAATCAACAATTTTCTGTAGGATCCATATCTGGCAATTCTGGAGACAATATTTTTGTGTGGGCATATTGTTCCCAGCTGGCACAAATACTATAAAGATATTTGCATGCGATTCTACTGTTCTAGTTATTGAAATGCGGGGAGCAGCCAAACATCCTCTTTCACCTATGGTGTCTGAATGATAAATAGTGCACAAGAACAGGACTGACTTAATATCATACCACGTTGAGTGTTTCCTTCTTCTTGTTGAGAAATTGAAGAGTGTTTAAGCATGAACGTATATCACATTCTGAAGGAAGAAAAATAATACACTGTCAAGGATATAAAACTAGAAAAATAAAACTGCATGAAAAACTTAACCGACTACAATACTAGATAGCAGTAACCAATGTTTATATGTTTATCATTTTATGAAACATGGGTACTGAAATTTAAGCACCCTAATGAATATTTTATACTTTTGAAAAATTGATGAAGCCTATATCCAAAGTGATTTCAGCCAAATAAATAGCTTTTATCGATTAACATAGATATTGGTACCTCATGTGTAAATATAATTAAAATCTAAATCAGAAAGTATCTCTAAAATATAATTTCAAGGGAAGAAAGTTTAAGTATGAATGACATAAAATATGGAGGAAAGAATATTTTTAAACGAACCTTATCCTTTTGATATTCAAACCATTTGAAAGAAAAAATGTTTTAACATCATATTTTAATATTATCATTATGTGACAAACATCGATCACATCCCCTCCAACCTCCAGTCCATTGAGCTTCTATTATGTTCCTAGATTACTAGATTTCAAAAAGGAGAACCAAGAACTACTGGTTCTTTCTGTGGTAATTGCAACTGCATATAAATGCTCACATCCTGCTCTTCTTCTATATTTTTCCATTGGTATTTGGAACAGCCTATTTCAACATACAACTTTCATAGATGCAACTATCAATGATGAGCATACAAAATATCCAGTGAATGATAGAAGTAGCATAAAAGATATTTGTTATAAACATAACAACGTGTCTGTAATATAAGCAAACCTTGGGGTTTCAGTGTTTCATACTTCGAACAATTTGTACTCTCTCTGTGAAATGCTAAATATCCCAAGTCCATGCTAAACATAGTTACACAGACACGCCATTGTCTTAGAAAATAAAAGAACAAACGATTCGAATATTTAGCCAATATTGCTTTTTACTGGGATATGAAGATTTCATATATATATATATAGGCATATACCCACACCTGCTCACTTATCCAAATCCATGATAAAAATTGCAGTAAATCTTAACACAAAAGGAAATCTCTCAAATTCAGTTGTTCCTCTATTTTGTGCATTCCTTAACGGAGGCAATTTAACTCACCAGTATACTCCGCAAGTGCAGTAAGTGCAATAGAACTTGTCTTCAGCCCTTCCTTGTTACATATATATTTGAGCCTACAATAAACATTTTTCAACGAACCTAAGTTGCCAAAATGAGGAATAGATGACACTTTAAATATAGAATAGAGTATCAGACAACACCAAGCTGTGTTGATGAAGATGTATTAGTATCAACAAGGTCTGACATAAATTAAAATTTTAGAAAAAAAATATAAGGAAAAAATCAATGCCTACTTGCTCTTACACAACAAAGGTTGCCAATTCCAATATAAAAAAGCTCATGGCATCATGGATAACAGAAGCTAAATTATTCCAATCATTTACTAGTAAAACTACTACTCAAAAAAAAAAAGGTTCTAAAAATTTTAATACTATAAGTTTAGGGATAACAGTGCCCCATTTTGAAAGTGTCAGAAGTGTACGTAATTCAAATGAATAGACAATAAAATTTACAATGACAAAAAGGAAATAGAATGTGATATTCTCATATTGAGTTAAAACTTAATGAACTCTTCTAGAAACTACCTTTCAATATTCCAGTCTTGCAGAAGAATGATCAAGGGTGCAATAGCTCATGTAATGAACTCTTTTTTACTACATTATGAAGTGAAAGTAAATTTTGTATCCATTTCAATGCTACTTCATGTGTTTGTGTCAGCTGCTTGGTTGCTCGTATTAGGGCTTTGGTCGAAAGATTTTTGACTAGTGGAAATGCCAACTTCTATATACGAGATTCTGTGCGAAACTCTTCCAGGCTCATTTGCTGCTTCTATTCTTTTTATGTCTTAGTTTGGACTTTCATATATTATTCTCACCATCATGTATAATGGCACGTTGGTCGATATTGAATGGTGTTACTGACAATGAGCTGTGCCAGGGCCCACCAATACCATTTTGAAGACCCCTACTTATAAACCATTAGCTCAAACAAATATCAAGCCAACAAAACATTGATTAAACATGATGGCTTCAAATTAGGTAATTAAAAATGCTAGAATTACTAAAATTGAACATTGATAAATCAATTACCTGCTTACAACACGACTCACTGTTGGTTGAGTGAATATATGGACCCTGTAAACAAAGCAAATACTTGTCATCCAATTAAGAAACATAGCTATTTGCACTCCACGCATCAAACCTAGTATACGAAAGCATAGAAGACACAATTAGATTGTTATTCCATTGTTGTCGTACTTATGATTTTCAACTACTGTTATCTCAACCAACATTGAGTTGTGGCACAAGCTATTATTTAGTCCAACAAATTATAGAGTACAAAGTATCATGTAGTCTTCAAAACAAATATGGGCATCACAATAGCTCTACAAATATATCGCTCACTCTAACAAAGTTAGTTCTGCAAGGTAATTGCTCAGGCGTTACTAGCTTTGCCTGCTTGGTTGTAAAGCTACAATTAGATTGTTATTCTATAGAGTACAAAGTATCATGTAGTATTCAAAACAAATATGGGCATCACAATAGCTCTACTAATATATCGCTCGCTCTAACAAAGTTAGTTCTGCAAGGTAATTGCTCAGGCATTACTAGCTTTGCCTGCTTGGTTGTAAAGCTACTAAAGCAACACTAATTTTCTATTCCATACAAAAATGGTTCCTAAAGCTAACTTCTGGCAATAGCAATGCTCATTTTAGGATCCTACAATTATTGAATCTCCAAGCACTTTTTTTTTTTTTTTTTGTGTTTTTTTTTTTAGTGTTTTTTTCCTTTTTTGAAACATTGGGAAGTTCCCGGACCTTATTAGGAGTTCCCAACTTTGTTCTTATGGTTTAAGAAGGGATACTTTACCAACAGTCCAGTGGCCTAGCGGTATCAGGCCCCTACTTCACAAAGGAAGGTCAGGGGTTCAAGTCTCAGTGGAGGCATGTGTGTGTGAGTACCAACTAAGGAAAAAAAAAAAAAAAAAAGGATACTTTTTAACTCCAATTTTTTCAGTTTCTTGGGGAGATTTTGAGTCAAATTTAACATATAGTATCTCCTGCATCAGTAAGGTATGGCAAGCAAGGCCTTTCCCTCTTTTTTTCTTTTTTCACCAAAAGCTGCTCAAGGTCACCAACTTTTGTCGAATTATGTTACATTTCCTGCCTTGCCTTCATGACACAGATGTAAAGTTCTTTTCCTTTACATATGTACACTAGAGAATAGATTTCATTTCTTTCTACACCAAATCACTAACTCATTAGCCTATGGAACGTATTAAGCTGTTTCTTATACATAGCAATTTAGAAAATTGGAAGGTGTTCAATCAAAAACTTTTGATGGAAACAGATTAATTTATTTTCTGAAAACAACAATGCATCCATAAATACTAATATCAGCTTATTATATAATTGAGATCAATAACAACTACATCATTTGATTTATGTAATTCTTCAGATTTGAGTCAAAGATATTTCAAATTGATATCACATGTGATATTTTAGCTGATTGTAAGAGAAACTTACTTTGCCACCTGGCGCAAAGGCCTCAAGGCCGGTGCATATAGGTCATTGCATATGCAAATTACCTACATATCATATCCAACCCATTTTAAGTATCAAGAAAAATGGTCAATTAACATGTAAAACCAAATCAATCTTACAGGCCTTGATAATGATGCATTTTTACGCTTCCTCTTTGAGGACATCCTTCCTGATTGTTCCTCCTTAGCTACATTTTCTTTTCCAGTATCTGACTTCCTTTCAGCAGACACCTGCATCAACAACATACATACCATTGTAAAGAAGAACCTTTGTCCACCCACAATGCACAGCAAAAGATAATATGAGAAAGTAGAAAAGTTGTTTTCAACAGTTAGTAATCAAAAAATAAAATAATTTAAATGTTAATAAGATGGGTAAATTCAGATGTCCCAACCATCGACTACATGGATGCTTTCCACCATATATATATATATATATATATTTATTTATTATAATTATATATATATATATATATTTATTTATTTATTTATATAAAGGCACCTGCTAAGCTAATAGCCTAATACATGAAGACCACTTAAATTACCATCTTAAGAATAACCTCCACGGCACCCTTGCCCTCACCAAGAGCTCCATCTATTTCATCAATTACCTACAAAATAGTGCAGTCAATTTGCCAAACCTATGGTTAATGAATTAACAGTATACACCTAAATGTAAAACCAACCAAACACTTCGGCTTTGAGTCAGCCATGACAGAGTTCATCTGCACCACATCAAGGATCTTAGCTTCGACAGTTGACGAAGACCGATCATCGCTTGCATTAATCTGAGCAGAATAACACTCTTAATGAGTACATATTAAAAGTTTAAAATAGAAAATGTCAGACAAGTTCTAGCCAAAGGAAACCAAAGCACTAGAATAAACCAGACCAGCTCTAATAAAATATGTCAAAATCAGCATGAAAAAAAAAAAAAAAAATAGAGCATGAGGTTTACAAATATGATAGTTTAGTACTCAAACACCAATTGAAGAGTTAATCCCACTAGATACATATTAGTTATACAGTAAAGGAAGCATAAACAATAAGAACCTCAAACATAGCACATACATATAATACTCCCTTTGTCCCATATTAAATTGTCCCTCTTGGGGAGTAGAACTTTTTAAGGGGACATGTAATTATTGCAGTGTCCCCCTTAAAACTTACTAAGTTACCCCTTTAAGTTTGAATATATATATACAATCAAGTTTGAATTTTTTAAAACTTCAAGGGTATTTTAGGGAAAGATGTGAAATACGTTGCTTAAATTTTTTAAGTGGACAAGTATTTTGGGACAACCCGAAAAGGAAAGATGGACAACTAAATTGGGATGGAAGGAAGTATGTATTAATATGTTATTTCTTCCTGACAATGTATAATTATTCAGTAAAATTTGTGGTAAATAATTAATATTCTTGTAAAATAGTAGCTCGTGCAGGCAGAATACAGTTGAAGTTGTAACCAAAGAGCCGTAAGAAAGAGAGTAGAGCCTAAAGTAAAGTTTATGCAAGTAACAAGTAAACAACAAGACCTCCATCACATGGTATCCACAATGCCTGGCAGCTATGTGTGCAAGCGTTGTTTTCCCAAGCCCTGGGGAGCCACAGAGTAAAAGAATCTGCAAAGTTAAAAGGTTCAGTTACAATTAGCCTTAACCATAAGAAAAAAACAGAAAAGAAGAAAAAGGATGAGAATTATGGGAAGAAATAAATTGATGATAACGCATGAAACTGAAGCATTCTTCCAGTTTCTTGATTACAGACACAATTTTACCTACCCTTGGAGATTAGTAGATACAATTAACAACATGCAGTTTTAATTTTTCCTAAATCTTACTTGAGATAAATTAGAACCCCATGAAATGCCTCTTAAGATGCAGTTTTAATTTTTTTTAGATCTTACTTGAGTAAATTAGAATCCCATTATATGCCTCTTAAGATGAAATCGCCACTTTCTTATTACCAAAGTAATGAATCATGATACAGGACAAGGGTATGTATCAAGTAGAAGTCCAAATAGCCTTTTGGTCTAAAACCACATATCTACAATAAAGTACCCTTCAGAAGTCCCACCTTCAATTTGCACAGCCTAGATCAGCCCTTTGGTGGAGCCTGAGTTTGGAAAAGTTTCTTAGGTCGATTTTCCTCATTGAAATTTCGTAAACTTAATCAGAAGCCCTAAAATGTATTTTTCAAAATAGATACTTCCTCAAAAGGACTACAAGTAATTGTCAATGACCCGACCATAAACACAGTGTCTAGTGGGTGTCCCAAAAGAAAGAATAGGAGAGACTGAGTGCTTTTTATTAGAGAAGAATTAGAGAAGAGAATTAACTCTGCTCATTCATCTCTTTATTTATTTTATCTTCCTGTCTTTACCTTAGTACTCAATATCATTAATCGTAATATTAGTCATGGGAAAGATTGGTGAGATTTCTGAAGAGAGGAATGTCGATTCTCTCGTGACAAAATCAGGAGCCTTGTGACTGAAAACCTCTTTGTCTCCCGGAAATGCCCCACTAACTGGTTAAGCCTGGAACCATTCCATCCCTCCCAGTACTTTGAAGTGACATTGCAACACAAGGTAAAAATCTTTAATCAAAGGTGATAGTGGATTCATCCAAACTTACTTTAAATGAAGGCTATGAACACATATAGTTTGTATAAATTTTAGAAATAAAAAATGCATACTTATTAAAAAAATTAATAAAAATAAAAAAGAGAAGTATGTTGCAGCCACCACCAAGACAGATAAAAAAATAAAATGGCGTGAACATCAATGTCACTGGAATAACCATTTTCAAATGTAATAGATGGCCTACTTAAGTAGGAATAGGCACTAGTGGGATTTTTATGCATTTCCCTGCAAGAGAAGGCGAGACAGTATATCTATAAACTAAAAGGATATTTGAAATAAATTTCATGGCTGACCTTCTGTTCTGGTGGACCAGAGCCCTTCAATTTCTTGCTCCATGACTCCTGAATACCTTTTGAATCATTGTTTTCTTGATCCAAATAATTATGAACTTTGGAAGTTTCTTCATGTAATCTAGGTTCTCTATTTTCTCTGTTTTTCCCAAAAAAATTCCTACCAGAGAGTTTCTGATGTTGAGCCACTGAAGAATGCCGTCTCAAGGAATTCAAAACATCGTCTGTTGTAGTCCTAATTTCAGATCCAAAAACACAAGAATCCCACTGTTTCAGCCACAAGAGGACCTTCACGACAGCAACAATGTAAAGTTTAGTGAAACAGAAATTCAAGGTAAGTAGCTAATTAAAACATTAAACTTGAGGAAGCTTCAAAATAAAACTATTTGTGGTCTATGTACCTCACGATTTGTCTGCTCATCACTGAGAAGCTCCATAAATGAATTTGGAGCATATTTATCCACCCAAAGTTTTTCATTCCCCACTGGCGCTTCTGGAAGAATTACATCACTTTGACCTTCAACACTAGCTTGCAGAGTCTTCAGCATCATAAATATGAGCGTTAGGGTTCATGCATAATGAAATTTTAAAAAATTCTTCAGAACCAGTTTCCCAAAAAAATAAATAAATAAAAAATTCTTCAGAATCGTAATTAGGTAGAAGTTAATCTTTTCCATTTCATACCATTTTAAAATTTGTGTGACTACAGCAATATAATGAGATTTCTCTAAATATTAATTCCATTTGAGCCAAGTGCATTCTTTCTTTATAGCCGATCAGTATCTTTGTTTATTTTGTTTGACTTTTTTTTTTTTTTTAATAATTTGTTTTAGTAAACATTACACTGGAAATATATGAATAACCAAAAATAATGATACTTTACTTATACCAAAAAAATTGAATATAAAGGAGTAGTTAAAATAAACCTAAAGAAAGATACGCTTAAACCAAAGAGAACATTTTGACTTTAATCTTAACACAATCTGGGATATATCATCTGCTGATGACACTAAGGCTAGATCTTCAAACCTTTGGAAATTCTTTTGACATTCATATTGAGCATGAACTATCTAACATAAAATGTACCTTCATGAAAGCATCATGTTCCACTCTTTGCATTAGAACATTAATAGGCTCTGAAATAAGACCTGCAAAGTGGAAAGACTGGCTAAAATGAAACACACCTCTACTAAAAAGTTCAACAATGAACAGTAGTTTAAATGCGCATATGCAAACATTGCAAAATGGATGACGTATAATTTTATGAATGGCAAAAAGAAGCATCAATTGTTCATGCAAACTAGAAAGAAAGAAACCCATTTTTTAAAACAGGAAAGTGTAGATCCATTAAATCTGCGAGTGCTCTCTGAGAATAAGATTCTATAGATCATCCAAAGAATATAATCAATTGGTTGGGAAACAATGCAGTATAAAACATTGTAATTACCTATACTACAATAGAAACTGAAAGGACCCTCTTAGTTTCGCTAATTGTTACCATACCATTTCTCAGATATGCCTTTAATTTCACTTAGAAGAATAATCTGTAAAATAGTTTAATATATTTTCTCAATTAAGTCTTGTAAAAGAATAAGTGATTCGCGTCTAATGAACTGATAACAGCATGCAGAACCAACCTACGTCTTCTGATGGCTGGATTAGCGCAAGCATTGCAAATGCATGCTCCTCCACTGTACAAAATAAGTGAGGCTTGTTCACAAATTTCAGAGTTATTTATAGTGGAAAGAAAGGAACTACTAGTCAGGCTTCAATTACGAAAATATAATGTCCTTTAAATTGCTTGAGAAATTTACGAGCACGTAATAGCATTAGTACCATTCTATGTGATATTAATTTCAAACAGTGTGAAAGTTGGTATCCACATCCAAGGTAGCCAAATAATTAATTGCAACTGAAAAATCAACTGAGTATGCAAGAACTGAAATGTTTTAGGCTTATAGCAAGGGAAATGCTATAATGAAACAAAATTCGAAATAGACATTTCATAAGATACTAAAATTGAAGGCAAATTGTTCTTTGACCAACAAATGTATTATTTGTTTAATTGCATCTTTATCAGTTCAATTGTCAAAGCTATGGAGAAAAATAATTTTCAGCTCTGATTGTTTATTATTTTAGTTTCGCCTAATTGAACCAAACAGTAATTTTCAGATGAATAAAAAACTGTACACCAATTATTTAAATACTTAATTGTATTTTCTGTTCTAACATTTTCTTGACAAGCAAACAGAATGTGAGAAAATAATTTAATAAAAGTATACCTACACTAATTCTCAATATATATAGTCCTACCATTTGAGTAAGCTTTCATGTCCAATCTCTTCAGTTTATCTTCCTTGTCGACCCTACTAATCTTGGCATAAACTCTATGGCCGTCTGTTCCAGTCACCGGAACACAATCCCCGTCAATTTGTGAAGCGTATCTGGAAACAATCTTTTCCTCCTCAACAACCACTGGCTCCAAATTGGCTGCCTCACTTGGGGGAGGCACGTAACGAAGCCAATCTTCATTGTTTTCAATCTCCGATGGAGCAGATTCAACTCTGCTCCGTTTATCCTCCGATGGAACTGGAATGTTGTTGCGATCCGATGGACCGGGTTCATCGGATCGGAATCGTTTCTTGCCGTTGATCTGGGTTTTGGAATGGAGTGATGGGTCTGTGATTGATGTGGGTATGGATGGGATTGATAGAGTGGGTTTGGAGGGTTGTTGATTTGGTGGTTGTTGTTGGTGGTGGGGTTGGGGTTGGGCTTGGGATTGGGGTTGGTCTTCGTAGTCTTCTGGGTAGGGTTCTGATTCTGGTTCTGGTGGTGGTTCCAAGTCTTCGTAATCGTCGTGGAGGTGAGAGTTGGCTTCGAGCCATTCGAGCTCTTCTGGTAGAGGAATCTCCATGTCCATTTCCAATGGTGGTTGAGATGAGTTCTGTGTCACGCGACTCGCGCTGGAGGGAGAGAGAAGTGCTACTCTTCACTTTTGGCGGGAAAAGGATGAGGAAGAGGCGGCAAAGCGAACTCCTAATTCCCGAATTGCCTTGGTAGGGAAGTCTACGGTCGGGTCACTTTATTCCGAAACCCAACCCGCACAGATCGGTCCCAGCAAAACTCGAACCCCTCAATCCCTAGAAAGTCCAGCTCTGCCAAGAGAGCCCAACCCACCAAGTCAAACAGGCCATTATCCAAGTAGCGAGACCACTGTCGTATATTAAAACCCTAATCCCAAGTACAGCACACATATTCCGTCCGACCTACCCAATCCTCATCAAGCCGGCGATGAGCTCCTAATATATATATATATATATATAATTCTGTTTTCAAAAAGTCCTTTTTTCTTCTAGGTAGTTTGATCGTCAAATGTAGTGGTGGCAAAAGTTAACACGACTCTCTAACGCGACTCGAATACGATACGGGTTTAGATTGACTTAAAACAGATTCAGGTCATAAACGGATTGACACGATTAACCCGTTTAATTAATCTTATTATATTTAAATTTAATTTATCAGTGTTGGGTTTAAATTGAGAGGTTGAACCCGTTTATATACGTTTAACTATATATGTCGATTTAATAATTTGGTTGATTAAAACTTATATTTTTTTAGTATTTATTATTTTATTAAGTATTATTAATAAATTTTTTTTTTTTTTTTTAAATAAGTCATTAAACGGGTTATACGTGTAACCCGTTTAATAAACAGGTCAGACTTGTTAAAAATTCCTGACACAATTATTAAACGAGTCGTGTTCGAATTAAACTATTTAGTATAATACCCTTAAAGACAAGATTATAACTTGCGTGCAAGAATTGCCACCCCCAACCAAATATGATAATATTAATATTACCCCAATTGCCAAATGTGTTTCCGAAGTTCTGATTAGGTAGCTAATAGGTATTGTAAAGTACTCTTTATTTGAGTGTGCATGTAAAGAAGTATTGTTTGACCAGATATGATTGTTAATGAATAAAATTACATAAAGATATTGTCTTGTAAATTTCAGTAGTATTTTTTTTCCACACCATGATAAGCGATAACATTCACTATTCAAATAAGACCCATTTGGTCCACAATTATGTAACTCTTTCAAATGACAATAGAAACAATAAACGCTTTCCATAATTTCCTTTTAACAACGCAGTGACAATTGATAACATTCAAATAATTAAGTACAGCATGATAAATATTACGTGTACCAGATTAAATACTATGTGTACCAGATTACAACAAACTTAAATTGTGATGAACAAATTCAAATAATGAGACAATTTCTGAAAAAATAAAAATGTAAAAAACTGAAAATTTTAATAAATGGAATTTCTTCTAATGACACGAGATTAACAAAACAATGGTCTTACTTATATTTACAAAAATAGAAACAAAACACAAAAAAAAATGCTCATCTACACAAAACGCAAAATAGAAGCAAAACTTATATATTAAGAGTTAAGATTGTTACTACAGCCAAATTTATTATTTGTATAAGAAACTTGAACTACAATCAAATTAAGGGTTAAGAGTGTTAGTACAACTAAGGATCTTATATGTTATGTATGCCATTGATGATTCATAAAAGTATCTAAATTGGCCAGATAAACATATCTCATATATATATAATATAACGTAAATACAAAGTGTGTGTGTGTGTCTATATATATAGTTTTTTAATCATTTTTATTTTTTTTTATTTTACAGTTATACACATATTTTCACTCACTTGCATCGCAAGTATATTTTACTATTATATATATACACACACACACTCTTTGTATTTACGTTGTATAGAATTTATAAATTTTATCAATTTATTTATTATATAGATAACTTAAAAAAATAAATAAATGGGGAAGGTCAAGGCAGGAACGAGTACACTCATCTCTGGGTGAGTATGGATTGTAAACTTTAAATTCATGAGGAATATAAAACAGGTATGAATCTGTTCAGAATTAAACAGGATAATAAATTTAGACAAATTCGTTCCAAACCCACCCGAAGCCATCCCTAAATGGGAACATGTGTGCAGGCCCAAAAAAGAAGGGAGGCTTGGCATTCCTGACTTGGGTCTGTGGAGCAAAATATCAATCCTTAGGAATATAACGGTGTTGTATCATCCCCTTATGAAGAAGACTCGACCTGTCACTCCCCGAACTCAAAACTCAAGCCCAAGACATGACAGGTAAAATTAAATAGTGATAGGCCCATTATTACATAGTTATAGTATTTATTTATTTATTAATTATTATTATTTTATTTTACTATTATTTCTTATTTCTATTTTTTTTTTTTTTCTCTCTCTTAAATTCTTACCCAAGCAATGTAATGCCAAAGGGTTAATCATATATACATATACAGGTGTACATATGCGTAGCCAGTACCATTTAAATCCAATCAAACACACCATTAACTTCAATTATCTATCCAGGAACCAGTTGAAAACTAAACGGAACAAAAAGAATGTAACTCTTTCAAGCCACAATAGAGAGAATAAATGCTTTCCATAATTTCCTTTTAACAATGCAATGATAATTGATAACATTCAAAGAATTAACTACAGCATGATAAATACTAGGTGTAAAAAATTAAAAATTTTAATAAATAGAATTTCTTCTAATGACATGAGATTAACAAAACAATTATCTTCTTACATTTACAATAATCTAGCAAATCAAAACATGCTCCTGTACACAACATAGAAGCAAAACACAAAATAAAATGTTCAACTACACAAAATGCGAAACAGAAGCAAAACATTTATTGAGAGTTAAAGAGTGTTATAGTACAACTAAATTTATTGTCTGTATAAGAAACTCGAGCTACAATCAAATTAAGGGTTAAGAGTAAGCGCGGAGCCAGTGTGTGCCCAGGGGGGCACATGCTCCACCTGCCTCGCCCCCTATGGTTTCTATTTTTTATTTTTATTTTTTTTTCTCTACATATGTAGAAATTTGTATATTATGCCAACTAAAATTATTTAAATTTTTTTCTATTTTTTCACTTTTACTCTTTAAATTTCTGTAATTACCTTTTAAAAAAGGTTAAATTTTTCCTTATTTTATCATGTTCTAATTTATTTATTTCAAAATTCATTTTTCTTTCTCTTTTTCTTCTTCTTATTTTTTATTTATTTTTTTAAATAAAATTCCCAACATGCCCCCTAAATACAAATCTTGGCTTCGCCCCTGATTAAGAGTTTCAGTACAACTAAGGATCTGTTTTGTTATGCCAGTTGATAATTCATAAAAGTATCTAAACCAGTCATAATTAATCATATCTCATAATATATATATTAATAAGGGTAGCAAAATTCAAAAATAATTCATCTAACCCACCCGGTACAAGTAATCTCCAATTTGTGAAAAATAATAATAATAATAAATAAATAAATAAATCTCCAATATATTGTTTGTATAAGAAACTTGAACTACATTTTTTCTTAGTTTTACTGTACATATACCACTGGACAAAGCCCAATCACAACTAGGGATGGCAAATTCTCCATCCCCGCCAGCGCCCCGCCCTGCCCCGTTTATAGCGGGGATGGGGATCCTTTTAGCTAAATGGGGATGGGGATGGGGCCAATTTATGAATCCCCGCAAGGGCCAGAGCCGGGGGCGGGAATAGGGTAAACCCGCCCCGCCTCGCCCCGATTAAGTGTGAAGTTACTAATATACCCTTACATATAATAATTTATTACTAAATTAGATTTATTATGTATATATAAATAAGAAAAAATATGTTTTTTTTTTAATAAAAAAATTTTTGAGGCCGGGGCTGGGGGCGAGGTGGGGCGGGGATGGGGATAAGGTGGCGGGGGCGGGGGCGGGTATGGGGAATCTAGCAAAATTTTAAGCGGGGATGGGGGCGGGGATGGGGAATGAAAAATGCATCGGGGATGGGGATGGGGATGGGGAATGAAATCCTCGCCCCACCCCGCCCCCTTGCCATCCCTAATCACAACTACTTGGGATCAGCCTTCTTACAGACTCATATTTCATGAGCATTCAGCAAAATTATTGTTCCAAATATATTGTCTTAATTCATCTCATTCACAACTATACATTGTTGGGTCTTGAAGAATTCAATGAATAGCTTTCGGAACAACACAATATTCTATTTTGAACTGAGATTGGAACGCAGATTGGTCCCTGTAGTGGTGAACCGAGAAAACACTGGAATCTATTAGGAACATTATTGGAGCATTACTTGATATATGTATTTAAACCTAAAACAAAATCTAACAATTTTCCTCTTTCCATTATTATCGTCATCTTAAAACAACCTTATAATTTGGTCCGATCGTGGTCTTAAAACTCCTTAGCCACAATTTCAAGTTCAGTTAACCATTTTACTCAATTATTTTGACACTACCCAAAATATTATCCTAATAATATATAGATATATATATATACACACTTGTACATATAAAGTTAAAAGTTCATAAGTTCGTACCAAAAACTTCATAAGCTTTTCTGAATTTGATGTATTCAGAGTCCAAATGAGAAATTACTACAATTCCTTGGTTTTTGCCAGCGAGCATGTTTACCATTTTTGGATCTATGAACTCAACTCACATGGCACAGCCAGCTATCAATCCATCAGTCGACAAAGGCGGTGGAGGAGGTAAATCATTCATGTTCCACTGTCTACCCACCCTTATCTGGTAATGAATATGTTGTTCACAAATAACCACCTTAGCCTTTATAGCATCTCTTAGAATTGGACCATCACCAGCCCTTCATACGCTACCATTCTCAATGTTTCGAACACCATCAAAATTGTCCTCACCATCCATTTATTCACCTCATTGGGGACCTCAATGTGAAGAAACACTTTATTCTTAGACTAGGAGGGTGGAGGCAGGAACTGTGGGTACCCTACCCTACTGGCAGTCGAGAACTGGTGGTTGTACCCTACAGTGGTGCGGCTGAGCTAACATGCGCCGGTAGAGTTTGGGAGTACTTAAATATCACGTGGTAATAAGAGGAAACAATAAAATTGGCAGTGGCATAGTATAGAAGAACTCCTCCAAACAAAATCCCATAAACTCTCATTATCACACTTTTCAAAATGTTTACTGAGAAAGAGTTTTCACCCAGAAAGTTTGATCGTCATACGAAATTT